CACAAACACTAATGTAATTTATTTTTTTAAAAAAATTTTGCCAGACTGTGGTAGCGCACACCTTTAATCCCAGCACTCGGGAGGCAGAGGCAGGCGGATCTCTGTGAGTTCGAGGCCAGCCTGGTCTAAGAGCGAGTTCCAGGACAGCCTCCAAACTACACAGAGAAACCCTGTCTCGAAAAAAAAACGAGAAAAAAGTTTAAAAAGTCATGCGTGGGGGACTGCAAGGATGCCTCAGCGGTTAAGAGGACTGGCAGCTCTTCCAGAGGACCCAGGTTCAATTCCCAGCACCCACATGGCAGCTCACAACTATTTGTAACTCCATTTTCAGGGTATCTGATGCTTTTACACCAATGCACATAAAATAAAGTTAAATAATAAATAAAAAAGCCAAGTGTGGTTGCGCACACCTTTGACCCCAGAACTCCCAAGGCTGCAACAGGCAGATCTCCGAGTTCAAGCAAAGCCTGGCTTATTTAGCAAGTACTAGTTCAGCCACGGTTATACAATGAGACACACACACCTGAGAGAGAGAGAGAGAGAGAGAGAGAGAGAGAGAGAGAGAGAGAGAGAGAGAGAGAGAGAGAGAGAGAATCCTTCGATTTAGAGTGGGAGAATGTGGTTGCCTGGTCTCAGAAGAGTGAGGATGGATGGTTGCATAAATGATTTTGCTTTTTTTCAGTGCTCTGGGAACTAACCGGGCTCGGCCAACTGGCTCACACTCAGGGGTCTCATGTCCCTGCTATCAGATGGAAGAGGAGGCCGGCTCACCGCCGGGCTTCTTCACCGGCGCCTACATTGGGAACACTAAGACAGCTGGGCTGGAACAGCTGGCCTGTCCAGTCCACGCCCCCCTGTGGTCTCTCCAGCCCACTGTCCTCCAAGCATCTGCCCTGTCAGCAGCTGACTCAGGCAGGGGTGTGGTAGAAGCGGCTTGCACCGGCTCTTCCCGATCTCACAGTTTGGGGACAGCACGTGGGCAGGGGAGACGTGTGTGATTCCCATCCCAGGCGGCAACCAAGGCTGTAAGCCTCAGTCTGCTCATTGCTAACCACTTAGGAACACTCTCAGGACTCCAGAGAAGGAATCCGGCAGCGACAGTTTTAGAATACCACCTGGAAAATCCCTCCGCAATGTCTCTTCTCCGGTAGCAGAGGCCTTATGACTAGCAGAATTATGGAGTCACTGTGGAATACCATTGCAGTCCTTTTTGGAATGTAGAGTCAGTCATTAAGTCCTTGCGGATGGAATGTTAGCAGCATTCCCGGTTACCATGCCAACGAGTGACAACCTCCCCGCAAACACACGATTCAGCCTCGCTCCCCAGTGACCAAGCAGCAGGCAGGCAGTATCTGATTTATCCACCCAAACTGGTCTCAGCCAGTGACTGACATGTAGCCTCTAGACTGTGGGAGAGGTCTCAAGTACGGTCCCAAAGAGAGGCTTGGGGTTCCCACATGTGGCAGGCAGGTTGCAAGCATTGTTTGACTTAACCTTGCCTTTTCTTCTCCATTTTCTTCCTTTCCATCCCTCCTTTTCCTGAGGCTCCAACCCAGGGCATCATGCAAACAAGGGAAAAGCATTATCACCAAGGCTCACTCACTCAGTCCCCCAGTCCAAGAGGTGACTTCGACCTTCATTTTCATTTTTATCTACTTGTTCTTTGCAGGGGTGAGGGGTGGGGGTGTTTTGAAACAGGGTTTCTCTATGTAACCCTAGCTGTCCTAGAACTCGATCTTGTAGACCAGGCTGGCCTTGAACTCACAGAGATCTGCCTGCCTCGGCCTCCCGAGTGCTGGATTAAAGGGGTGCCTGTACTTTTTTTTTTAACATCTTATTGTAGGGGTGCTCTGCCAGTGTGTATGCTTGTGTGCACCTGCACGCCTGGAGCCCTCAGAAGCTGGGAGAGGGCATCAGATCTCCTGAAACTGGAGTTACAGCCGTTGGGAGCTGCCACATGGGTGCCAGGGAACCCGACCGGTCCTCTGCAAGAGCAGCAAGTGCCCTTGGCCACTGGTCCATTGGTCCAGTCCTATTTGTCTGTCTTTCCTTCCTCTTCCTCCTCCTCTTCTTGAGACCAGATGTCTCTGTGTAGCCCTGGCTGGCCTGAAACTCACTATGTAGACCACGCTAGCTCAAACTCATGGAGATCTGTCTGCACTGAGGACTAAAGGCGTGCACCACCACACTTGGAAAAAAAATAAAATTTTGTTTTGATTTGCTTTTTGTTTTGTTTTTGGAGATAGGGTTTCTCTGTGTTGTTTTGGAGGCTGTCCTGGAACTCTCTGTAGACCAGGCTGGCCTCAAACTCACAGCGATCTGCCTGCCTCTGCCTCCCTAGTGCTGGGATTAAAGGCGTGCGCCACCAACGCCCGGCGAAAAATAAAATTTTTAAAGAGAAGAGTTTAAGTAAAGGGGTAGGGGGTTAGGTTTGGAGATGAGGCCCTAAAATTATAATGAAGGCAGACATGTGTGGTGACTTTTGAGCAAAGATCTGAAAAACGTAAGCATCAGGCTCCCAGTAGAGGGGACAGCCAGACCAAAGGCCTGAGGTGTTGGAGCCTGTGTAGCTGAAGCAGAGAGAGATGAGAACAGAAAACATGGGCAGACGGGGTGGGACCTTGTGGCAGCCGGGGAGGATTCTGACTTCAGCTGGAAAACACGGAGTTGTTGAGTGTTCTGACTGCGCGGGACGAGACCTGACCCAGGTGCTTCCCCTACCGACTGCGTTCCAGGAAGAGGGCACAGAGCCAGCAGCTGGGGCTGAGAGCCCCTGAGAATTTAGGTTCAAAGGTTGTCTCTGACAAGCTACCAGAGCAGCCAAGGGGGCTAACAAGGAACCCAGGTAGAAGCCTAGAATGGGTGAAGGTTCCTAGAAGCTAGGTGACAATAGGGAAATGGTGCCGACAGGGCTGGCAGAGTAGTAACTACCACAGCAGTCATTGATGACCTTGGCATTCCAGGGTGCTTAGAAAAAGTTCACCAGCTGGGCACGGTGACAAACACCTCTAATGCCAGCATGTGGGAGGTGAAGGCTGGAGGGTTAGGAGTTCAAGGTCAGCCTTGGCTACATAGCAAGTTGGAGACTAGCCTGGGCTACATGAAACCCTGTCTCAAAAAAAAGCAAAAGGAAAGAAGGATAGAGAAAGATTCAAGAGATACTGAGGGTAGAAACTCCCGAAGTAGTGCATACGGGTCTTTTGTTCATAGCCCTTGGCTTTTTGAGATTTTCACTACACAGTTCAGGCTGATCTAGAACTTAGAATGTCCTGCTCTCCCCTAGATGCTAAGTTCTGGGATCCCGGGCACGCACCTCTGTGCACAGCTAACTGTGGCTAAGGCGCGATTTTTACCATACAGAGGACCCAGGCATCGCCTGGCTCAATTGTAGCGTTGCTACCTAGGATTCACCAGTGGGGATCCCAGGTGCAGCTCAGTGACTGATCGAGTGATTGACTAGTGTACACGAGGCCTGGAATTACACCTTGGGCACGGGGAGTCGGGGGTGGGAAGAGAGGCAGGGAAAGGACCAAGGAAGAGGAGCAGTAAGAAGTAGTCTCAGAGAAAGAGGGAACCCAGCAGGTTTTCCCTTCGGCCTGCAGTCCGCCATAGCGATGGCTAACCCGTGAGAGTCAGTTAAAAATAGCCAGGTGATGCAAAAAAATTATCTCATGGGCAGCCATCAGGAGCGGAGTGGGTGTCAGTGGGGCAGCGAAGTCAAGGATCTAGAAAAACAGCCAGGCACAGTGGCACACAACTTCAATCCCAGCAGAGGCAGGTGGATCTCTGTGAGTTCAAGGCCAGTCTGGTCTACATGGGGAGTTCCAGGCCAGCCAGGGCTGGATAGTGAGAACCTGGCACAAAAAAAAAACAAAAACAAAAATAAAACAAAGCAAAACAAAAAAAAACACACACACACACAAAACACAAACAAGCAGAATTAGGGAAATAAGTCATTCTTGTTCTAGGGGTCATATTACTTCAGTTTGGGGAACAGCCATTGTTTAACCAAGATGGAGGGGCTATACAAAAACAGCATGGCCATCACTAACACTTGGGAGGTGGAGAAGGGTCCTGGGTTAAAGGACAACAGTCAGGGGCTCTGCGGGGAAGGGAAGAGGAAGGAGGAAGGAAGAGAGATGAATATGAGGATCTAATTCCCAGGCGGCGCTGGAAGAGTGAGGGGAGTCAGCCTCACGGAGAAGGGAGGCTGCCAAGTAAGATTGTATTGTTCCTATGGGTGCAGGGGACCCACTGGAGTTCAGACACTAGGGGTGAGAAGCCAAAGAGTGCATCTAAGACCTTCAGTGATCAGCCACAGAACTGAAGCTGGGTAAGGGAAGAGTGAGGAGCAGGAGGAGCAGGATGGGAGACCACGGTGGAACTCCACGACACTGACACTGGAGGTTGAGGGGGAATGGGGACGCTGGACCTGCTGCCCTGTGACTGCAGATGGGGACGACTTCAGGAGGGCCGTGCTCCAAGGAGCATGGACACCACTGGTTTGGGAAGAGCGTAAGAGGAGAACTGGATTCTAGACAAGACGTTCAGAAGAAAGTGGCTTTGCAGGAAATATACAGGGAATTCCAAAGCCCGAGCCGATGGCAACAAGGTGGTGTCTGGTTTCCCCCCATTGAGTTTGTTTGTTTTTCGAGACAGGGTTCCTTTGTGTAGCCTTGGCTGTCCTGGAACTAGTAGACCAGGCTGGCATAGAACTCACAGATCTGCCTGCCTCTGTCTCCTGAGTGCTAGCATTGATTAAAGGCGTGCACCACCACTGCCCAGCTGCTTTGTTTTTTCCTTGGTTTTTTTTTTTTCTTTCGGTTTTTCGAGACAGGGTTTCTCTGTATTGCTTTAGAGCCTCTCTTGGCATTCACTCTGTAGACCAGGCTGGCCTCGAACTCACAAAGATCCACCTTCCTCGGCCTCCCGAGTGCTGGGATTAAAGGCCTGCACCACCAACGCTCGGCTTTGGTTTGTTGTTTTTTTTAAAGGTTTCACTGTGTGGGACAGGCTGGCCTCGAATTCATGGTAATCCTCCTGCCTCAGCCTCCAAAGCGCTGTGATTACAGGCGTGCCCCACTACATCCCGCTGGGATTGGATTAGATTTGGAGGGGGTCTTTGGCCGCAGGGGAACGGATTTGCTCTATCTTGTCTGCAACCAGGCATCCTGCACCCGGTTGGTGACCCAGGGAGGCTGACCCGCCAACCCCTCTTCACCCGGAGGACGCCGGCGGCTGGACATGGGAGCCCGGCCCTCACGACAACGGACGGCCGAAGCTCCGCGCGTGGCTCTGGCCGCGCTGCCCCGGAGCTGCTGGTGCAGGTGCTGAGCTACCCGCCTCCCCGCGCGTTAGTGACGCAGTGCCGGCCGGTGTGCCGCGCCTGGCGCGACGTGGTGGACGGCCCGAGCGTGTGGCTGCTGCAGCTGGCCCGCGACTGCAGCGCGGAGGGCAGAGCCCTCGACGCTTCGGCCCAGCGCTGCCCCGCTGACGGCGACCGCCACGACGAGCTCGCGTTCCGTGCTCCTGCCCGCTTCTACCTGCGCGCGCCGCTCGGCCGGCCGCAACCTCATCTTCAACCCCAGCGGAGAGCCTGGGTCCCGGGGGCAGGGCCTAACGCGTGGAGGCGGGGCCTTCTGGCTGGTGGGAGGGGCGTAAGACGTGGAGAGCAGAATCTGTAGGAGCATGAGGTCTGTGGGCGGGGCCTACCTTAGGGGGCGGGGTCTAAGGCTTAGAAGGCGGGACCTAAAGCTCCGGAGCCCCTGGCCCGGGGACTGGACTGAGGGACAACTAGAGGAGCAAATCGGGATTAGAGGGAGAGGCCCAGGGCTAAGACAAAACGGACTGGGCGCGGGAGGGAGGAGGCGTTTGCATAAAACGCTGAGGGCGGCAGAGAGAGCCAACCTGAGAGGGTGGGCAGGGCTAGGCAGAAGGCTGGAGGCGTAGAAAGGTGGGGCCGAGGAGCGCTGAGATTCAGCGCTGAAAGCAAAGCTGGTTGGGTGACCCGGTCAGGATACAGGAACTTGGAAGATGGGTTCAGTAAAACGCCCCAGATTAAATGATGAGCAGGGCCAACTGCGAGGTCTCTACCCCTCCACGGGGCGAGCGAAAGCCTTATATTCTGCCACGTGGTTTTCTACAGAGGGTTTCAGAGGCTGGCAAGTGGAGCACGGAGGGAACGGCTGGGCTGTGGCAAAGAATTTGACAGTGGTGCCAGGGGCTCCTTCCCAGACCTGCTTCGTGACTTCTTTTGAGTGAGTGGTCCCTGATGCCTAGGGGGAGGGTCCAAAGAGGGGGAGGGGACCTGCTTCAGGGTGCTTATCGGGCTGTCACTTTCCCAGTCACTCCTCCCTTTGTTCAACAAGTATTTTAAATATACTTTAAATTATGTGTAAATGTGGAGAGGTGTATTGTGCTTGTGAGTGTTGGTGCCCAGAGAGACCAGAGAGGGCGCCAGAGTCCCTGGTGCTGGCGCTCTGGGGGTTTTATGTGGCTGTTGGAATGGAATTTAGGTCTTCATACTAGGCAAGCACTTTACCGACTGAGCCATCTCCCTAACCCTGGTTTAGAGATAAGACCTTATGTAGCCAGAATGGCATCTACCTTGACCTCCAGCATGCTAGGATTCCAATGACTCTTGTCATTGTTTTGGTTTTGGTGGTGGTGGTCTTTGTAGTAGTAGGAATGAGATCCAGGTCTTCAGGAATGGTAGGCAAAGCACTCTCCCATTGAACCATGCCCCTATTGTTATAATCTGTTAAATCTGTTGACATGGGTGTTTTTCTTTCCCCAGATTATTAGAAACTAAAACATAGAGGATAGCTAATATCTAATACATTGGTGGGCCTGGAAGAGTGACACACGCCCTTAATCCCAGCTCTCCGATCACAGAGGCAGGCAGATCTCTGTGAGTTTAAGGCCAGCCTGATCTACATAACAAGTTCTAGGATAGCCATATGCATATAGTGAGATCCTCTCAAAATAAAGAAATATATATAATAAATGGTAGAGTTAGAATTTGAGCCCAGATATTCTGGCTCCAGAATTCCTGACTTTTTTCTCCTGAGACAGGGTCTCATATCACCCAGGCTGACTTTGAACTCATGTGTAGGGGAGGCTGGCCTTGAATTCCTGATCCTCCTGCCTCCACTTTCCAAGTGTGTGCAGGACAGGCCCACACCACCATGCCCACTTCCTCTATCCTTTACGAAGTTCCCATGCACACCCAGGTTTGTCCTGACACAGCTCGTTCCACTAACAAGCTTCTGTGCTATCTTTTGGGCCCCCAGAATCTTAGGAGGCCCCAGAACTCCCTGCTCAGCTGTCTAGTGTGTGGCCCTATTTGTATACATACCCAGGTCCCCACCACCATCAGGAGTAAGGAGACTAGCATGACTATCAGCCTCCTTGGGGGCAGAGCAAGGCGGGAATGGGGCAGGGACAGTGTGACAGGAGACGCATCGTCTATTACACACCTTCCTGTCCTGAGAGGCAAACCCGAGCAGCTGCTTTAAGCAAGGTGATCAGGAGAGACTTCGTGGAGGGTGGTTTTAAGACTGTGTGTCTCGGCCCTGGCCTCTCTCTCCCACATGGTGCTTCAAGAGGCAGCTCGCAGACCTGGTGATGGAAGGAGTTGCGGCGGGAGCCGCTGGACAGCGCCAGGTTGAGATCTGCGTAGCTGACTGGTGAGCCAAGACAGCGATGGTGACTCGAGTGGGCTGCAGCCTCGCCCCCATCGGCCCGCTGGATTGGACTCCCTTCCCTGGGACATACAGCTGCAGAGCTGGGGAGCGGAGGAACCCTGTTGTGTCCCAAGCCCCTTCCCGCACTCCTCCCCACCCTCTTCCCAAGCAGGCAGCCATGGGTCGTGTACACGAGCCCACTGACTCAGCGCCCGCCCTAAAATCGTGTGGCTAGGCAAGGCTTCGGACCAGTTGGCAACACTAGCCTAAGAACCCTAGCTGGAGGCACAGGAGCCTTCCGGAAAGCATTTGGTCTCTTCTCTTGGCTTCTGGTTCCTTCTCCAGGTCAACTCCTCCTGCCTGGGCATGGCTCCTGCCTAGAGCACTGAGGTTCTACCCCTCAAAGTAGCGACTCTGTCTTCTGAGCCCTCCCTCAGGCTTGGCTCCGCCCCCATGACTTAGCTCCGCCCCAGCATTCGGGCCCTTCTTCTCATAAGTGCCCAGACGCACCAGATGCTGTGCAAGTGTTTAGGACCTTAGGAAAGCTCAGCGCTCAGCATCCCTCCTCCTAACTCAGAGAGCTGGCTGGGGGAGGGGGGCAGGGACCTGAAGACTCACTGCCACCTGGCAGGTGGGGCGCCCGCCGGAACTGCCCCTGCATCTACAGGCTTCGGGTCCGCCTGCTGGATGAATATGAAAACGAAGTCGTCAAGTTCTCGGCCTCGCCCAACCCAGTCCTTCAGTGGACTGAGAGCAGCTGCCGCCAAGTGAGTCCGGACTGCCCGCTCACCCCGGTCGGCTCCAAGGTGCCTGTATCCTCCAGTCCCGCTGTTGGGTTTCCCGTTTCACTGATGGGGTCTGTGATTTGTAGCTGCCAACTGTCATACTAGATCTAGACCCTGCTCTAGGTGGCTTACTGACTAATCATTTTATTGGAGCATTTATTGAGCACCTATTGTGTTCAAGGTGCTACTAAAAGTGTCGTAATGCATGAACCAAAGTCCTTGCCCCGTTCCTATCCTAGAGTTGAGAAACTGAGCCACAGGGATGGATGGTGACCAGCCTCAAGCCTCACAAAAGCGTGCAGGGGCCAGGTCTGATGGTGCACACTTCAAATAGCAGCATTTGGGAGGCTGAGGCAGGAGGATCAGGAGGTCAGGGTCTTCTTCAGGTTGAGTGAGTTCAAGGCCAACCTGGACTACCTGAAACCCTGACTCAAAATAATTAAGTGGTGGCGCACGCCTTTAATTCCAGCACTTGAGAGGCAGAAGTGGGTGGATCTCACGAGAGCTATATAGAACCTCTCTCAATCAATCAATAGCAAATGGGTGAAAATAAAATTGGGGGCGGGTACCAAAGTCTTGAGGTTCATTATGTCCCACAGAGCCCAGTGGTCTCACTACCTACCGGGGCCCACCTCCTACTTCTCCCCAGTCTGCTGCAGGCATCCTCACCTCAGGACCCTGACCACCTGAAGCACTTTCTCCAGAGACCCATGTGGCTCCCGGTCCTCTCTCCAACATCACCTCCAGGAGGCCTTTTCTGTTCATTTCACACCTCTCTGCCTCCCTCCTGGAGAGTCCCCCCCCCCACTCTCCCTGGCTTCTAGTCCCTTCTTTCGCTGCTGGGTCCCCAGCACCTGGAGTATGGCCCAGGTGCCATCTGGGCGCTCGGCGAATCTTCTAAGATGGAGGAAGAGGGGTCACCAGCCTCAGCCTGTCACTCTCTTTTCCCACAGGTCTCTCACGTCTTCGCTGACTTTGGCAAGGGCATCCGATACATGTCTTTTGAGCAGTATGGAAGAGACATGCGTTCCTGGGTGGGACACTACGGTGCCCTTGTGACCCACTCCAGTGTGCGGGTCAGGATCCGTCTGTTCTAGCTGATCAGCCCGTCAGGACTTCCAGGACACACTGCCTCCTCCTGGATGGTGTTAATGTCAAAGGTGGCTTTGCAGCCCTGCTGGACGATACCTGGGGACAAAGGGAGGCTCCTGTGTGGCTCCCTACACACCTGCACTTCAGCATCATGGCCCTTCTGCTGTGACAAACCAGGGACCTCACCAGCTTCTCTATAGTCCTCTCTCCAAGCAGGGACCACCACAAAGTGACACAGACATGTCTAAGCCTGGGAACTGCTTCATATATGGATGTCGGTGGGTAAACTGTGTCAAAACAAAAATCCAAACAAATAAGCAAAGACAGGCCAAGCCAGACCTGATGGCACACTTCTAATCCCAGCATTTTAGACAGAGGCAGGAGGGTCCATGTCATCCTCAGATGTATACCGAGTTCCAGGCCTGCCTGGGTTACAGTGAGACCCTGTCAGAAAACAAGACACCCAACAGGCCAAGCTCAGAACTGTAACAAAAGAAGGCAGCTTACAAGGAGGGTTTGTTAAAACCAGATTTATTTTAATTGTGTGTCAGTGTGTTGGTACGTGCATGTCAGTGCAGGAATCCGCAGAGGGTGCTGGGAACTGAACCTGAGTGCTTGGAAAGAGGCAGTCACAATGATCCTAGTTTCTGTAGACCAGTGGTTCTCAACCTTCTAATGCCGCAATCCTGTAATACCGTTCTTCATGTTGTGGTGACCCTGACCACAAAAGTGTTTCTTTGCCACTTCAGAACGTGTAATTTTGCTGTTATGAATCATAATGTAAACATCTGTGTTTTCCGGTGGACTTAGGAGACCTGTGAAAGGGGCATTCAGCCTCACCGGGGTCACAACCCACAGGCTGAGTGTCACTTGTGTAGACAACCATGTCACCGTACGTGTGGGGAGGTCAGAGCACAACTTGCAGGGTTCTCTCCTTTAGCCATGTGGGCCCGGGGACCGAGTTCAGGTCATCAGGCTTGTTGGCAGCCACCTCACTCACTGGGCCGCCTCTCCAGCCCTGGACACTGTCTCATCTGCACAGCTGGGGGATGGGCTGGTTGCTAGCAGGGAACAGAGGTCAGCTAGGGCATCTGTCCTTGAAACCGACACGTACCTTCAAGGAACCGCGCTGTTCAGAGAAGCCTCAGGTCCAGCTGTGGGGTCTCTGTACCTACCCACCTGGGGACAGTGCTCATCTTTACTGCCCTGCAGATCCTCACCCTTGCCAGGCTAGCGACATTCCTCATCCCCAGAGACTGCCTGCCTCTCAACTCTCTCCTGCAGTCTCCCCTCATTGCCTGGCCCTGGACACGCTATAGGGGAGGTTCCCCTAACACCTGCTCTAAACCCCCCAGCTGCCCAATAAACGAGTGTTAAGGGGCTAGAGAGGTGACTCAGTGGTTAGGAGCACTGCTGTTCTTCCAGAAGACCCAGGTTCAATTCCTGGCACCCACATGGCAGCTCATTACTGTCTATTACTCCAGAGGATCCAACGCCTTCATGCAGACATACATGCAGGCAAAACACCAATGCACATAAAATATAAAAATTCTTTTGTGTATCTGTGTGTGTTAAAGGGGTTGGCAGACGGCTCAGAGGTTAGGAGCAAACTGCTCTTACAGAAGACCCAAGTTTGGTTTTCAGCACCACAGCAGGCAGCTCACAACCATGTAACTCCAGCTCCTGGGGGATTTGACACATCTGGAGTCCAGGGACAGCCGCACTCACACACATACACACACACACACACACACACACACACACACACACACACACACTCATACACAATACCTAAAATGTTTTAATCTGTTTGTTTGTTTTGAGCCAGGGTTTATCTGTATTGTTTTGGAGACTGTCCTGCAACTCGCTCTGTAGATCAGGCTGGCCTCGAACTCACAGAAATCCGCCTGCCTCTGCCAAAATGTTTTAATCTTAAAGACAAAAGCGGGTGCTGAAGCAGAGGTCACAGCTCAGTGTCGGCGCAGTGTCCCAGCATGTGAGAGTGTCCATCCCCAGCACCACACACAAGGGCCTGGCGATTCATGCCTGGAACCCCAGCACTCAGGAGGTAGAGGAAGGAGATGGTTCAAGGCCATGCTCGGCTACACGGGGAGTTCCAAGCTGGCCTGGGACATATGAGGAGCCTGCAGGTTTCTGTCTGCAAGCCGTGCTCCTGTCTGCTTGCAGTCCTGATACGGGTGTTCATGCGGCCACATGTGTACAATCAGACCATCAAGAGGCTGGGTTCGAGCTAAGTATTGGAGGCAAGCTTCCAGGACCCCAGTGAGTTTAGGCTTTGTTGTGTTCCTTCTTCTTGAAAGACTCACTCCATAGCCCAGAACTGACGCTGGGGTTCAAGCTTCGAGCTGAAGATCAGAAGAGTGAAGTAGCAAGCCACTATTTCGTACCCTACCTCAGCCTGAAAGGGCTGTCCTGTCTCCACAAGCTCTCACCAAGCCCCAGACTGCTGCCTCTCCTCAGCGGGGCTGGAACATCAATCAATGCCTTCCTATCCTTAATGCAGCTGGAAAATGAATGCAGCTCCGAGACCCTGTTCCTGTCTTCAATATTGCTCATGAGTCCTGGGATTAAATGCATGAGCTCTGTTACTCTTTTAGACTGCTTCAATCTCGGGTAGCCCTCCTGAACTCAGAGAGCTCCATCTGCCGTTGTCTCCTGAGTCCCGGGATTAAATGCATGAGCTCTGTTACTCTTTTAGACTGCTTCAATCTCGGGTAGCCCTGAACTCAGAGAGTTCCATCTGCTGTTGTCTCCTGAGTCCTGGGATTAACTGTATGTGCCACCACTGCCTGGCTAGCTGGCATGGCTGCTAGGATTAAAGATGTGAGCCATGGAGTCCAGCTCTCATGCCATGTAGCCCGGGTTACATTTGAATGCCTTGCTTCAGGGTACCAGACAGGAACTGTGTGTGTGTGTGTGTGTGTGGTGTCAGACGTTTTTCTCCTGTCTGCCAACTCCCAAATAACCACTCAGAGGCTTAACTTAATATTAATTACAAATGCTCAGCCCATAGCTCAGGCTTGTTACTAGCTAACTCTTACACTTAAATTAACCTATATTTCTTATTTATGTTTTGCCACGGGGCTCATGGCTTGTACCTCATTTTCTCTATGTCCTGCTTCCTCAGTGGCTGGCTGGGGACTCCTCAGACTCTGCCCTTCCTCATCCCATCACTCTTAGTTTGGTTTTCCTGCAGAACTTTATCATGTTCAGCTATTGGCCAGTCAGCTCGTTTATTAAACCAATCACAGTAACATATATTCACATAGTGTACAGAAGGATTATTCTACAACACACACACACACACACACACACACACACACACACACACACACACACACACACACACGTACAGGGCTGGGATCAGTTGAACCCAGCAATGTGAGCTTATTTCCTACAGCTTAAAGTCATGTCCACACCTATGACCACGAAAGGCCACATCACAGTTGATGCCACTACTCAAGGCAGGAAACTGAAGGCCAGATGCAGGGGCTCCCAGGAGCTGGAGAGATGGCTCAGTGGTTAAGTGCATTTGTTACCCCTCCACCTCCAGAGGGTGAGTGTTTGACCCTGGGACCCACCCCAGTGGCTCACAATCTCTAGTAACCCCAGCTCTAGAAGGCCCCCACAAGCACCCACATTTGCCCAGACATATCCAGATCCATCAAAACAGAAGTCCCAGCAAACAGAGGCACATCCCCTTTGCCCTCCCTTTTGAGAAAGGGTCTCACAGGCCTGCACCACCATGCACTACCCATATAGCCATTCCAACAGCCTTCCAGTATCAACCTTACCATTATTTGGCAGTTGGCCACATTTGGGATGGGCCTTCACCGGGCCTGCACCCCTCTCAGTGCTGTAAGAACCCACACCATCACCGCCACCACACATAGACACATACACATGCGCTAAGCATGGAGAGCATCTGGCTAATAATCTTCAGCACCAAGAACAGTCCCTAACTCTGTCAGTGAACTCTGTTCTGTAGGAGGGACTGGAGTGCACAGAGATCAGCATCTGCAATCACAGCTGGGGACAGACACTTATGATGGGTGACACCACGACCTGCACATGTGTTTATTACAACTCCCACGCCAGCAATATGCCCCGCCTGTGGACCATCGGACATGGAAGCCAAGAGAATGGATAGAGGGGTGCTTGATTCCAGGTAACCCCCAGAACTCCTGCAGAGTCTTGAGGAGCTGGGATGAGACTTGAACCCAGGACTAGCTGCCCCTGGAGCAGACAGGGCTGGTGTCCGGGGACCCGGTGCCTGACCACTATGAGGCATGGTCATTTTTTCTTCTGCACGTGGCCACAGTCATACTTGCCCCTCACGATTTTGAGTTTAACCCCAGGCAGGTCTTGGGTGCGCCCACCCTCCACGAGGACCACGTGGTGCTCCTGGAGGGTGTGGCCCTCGCCAGGGATGAAGCAAACGGCCTCCTTGCCCGTACTGAGACGCACCCGGCAGCACTTGCGGTTGGCAGAGTTGGGCTTCTTTGGCTTTCTGATGAATGTGCGTAGCACCACACCCTTCAGCTGTGGCCGGCCTTCTGTAGGGCCCAAAGACTTAGGGGGTTCCTTCGGGCGGCCTAAGCGGTGCATCTGGTTCAGGGTGGCCATGGAACGTGTGGCCCAGAGCTGGGGGCCTAGGGCCAGGCCTGGAGAGACACAACGGGTCTACTTGGTTTCCATATTCTAGGGAGGGATCCAAGCCCTTTACTGCTGATGTCTAGAGGTACTCAGTGTGGACAGACAGATGACTCCGTGGTTGCCCTGTTGCTCCTGCAGAGGACGGGGTTTGACTCCCAGCACCCATGGTGGTAGCTCACAACCATTTGTAACTCTAGTTCCAGGGGATCTGACACATGCATGTAATACACTTACATACGTGCGAGCAAAACATTCATACTGGGGCTGAAAGATGCCTCAGTGGTGATGAGCATTGGTTGCTCTTTCAGAGGACCCAGGCTCGATGCTGAGCACCACACAGTGGCTAGCAACCATCTTTAACTACAGCTCTAGGGTCTGATGGCCTCTACTAGCCTCCCCGGACACTGCACATAGGTGATAAGACATTCACATACATAAAGAGGTAGAGGAATTTAGGAATAATACTATCAACAGCTAACCTTTAGTATCAGACCCATAATTAAATAGAACTATTCCTATACACTTGAAACATTTTACATAAGCTGAGCACGCTGGCAAAGCCAAGCCTTCTCGAAGACCCCACCCAACCCGCCAATACTTCCCACTCCCCATGGTTCCCTGTTCAAACTGCTCCAGCCTAGGTAGCTTAAAAAACAAAACAAAAACCCCAAACAGATCACCACAGCTGCAGTGTAACACAAAGGGAGGCAGACCAATAAGATGCATTTGTGGAGCTGGAGAGGTGGCTCTGTGGTTAAGACCACTGGCTGCTCTTCCAAAGGACCCAGGTTCAATCCCCAGCACCCACATGGCAGCTCACAACGGTCTGAAACCCCAGTTCCAGGGGATCTGACGGCCTGCACAGGCGAAACTTACACACACAATACTGAACACTTTGAAAAAACAAGACGGTGTCTCACTGTGTAGCTCTGCCTATCCTGGAACTCTCTATGTAGACCAGGCTGGATAGTAAATATCGGGGCGAATGAAATCCCCAATACCTCCCACGGGACATTGTGCACAACACCTGATTTCTGGGGAGTGTCTAAAAACATAAAAGTTCCTCTCCACTGGGAGGCACATCTTAGACTTAGAGAAAATAGCACCTGAATGGATGGCCAAAATTCCTGGCTTGGATTTCTCACCCGTTGAAGGCCATCAATAAACACTTGCTGAAGGAATAAGCACCTCACCAGGAAGACGAGCTGTTGGCATGACTGTTGCATGAACAACCTAAGACAGACTATCACTAGGCCATACAACCTCAGGGATTCACCACTACCTATGACTACGGCTGGCTTAAACTCTGCTGGGCACAGAGCTGGGGGTGGGGAGGGGGCTTGGGTAGAGAACGCCTGTAACGCTTGAAAACTTGAAGCGGGTGATCAGGAGGTCAAGGCCATCCTGTCCACCGTGGGACGCCGTCCGAGATCTGGCAAAAGCCATGCACGCCATAGCCAGCGAATAGCCCTCCTGCAGCCTCGACCCTGCGGCCCACGTTCACTTACCACGACTGAGGGACGTGGTGAGGCCGCGGAGAAGGCCGGGCCAGGACATCTCTGCTCCTGGTGCGTCCCTGCGTCAGGACAGAAGGGACTGAGACGGGAGGCTGGGACCAGACCCTTTGTGTTGTCAACAGAAAGTCCCCCGCAAACCCAGCCTCACTCGGGGTAGACTCCCTGGGACCCAATCGCCCTCACGCCGAGAAGGGAAGGAGGACAGAGACGTTTGGGGCGCGGGTGGCCGCTCTCCCCTCACCAACCCGGCTGTGCCGCAGACACGCTAACACCCGCCTCCAGCCCCTTCCGGGGGATCTCTGCAGCGATTGGCTACGCCGCGAAGGGGGCGGGACGACGGTGACAACTGGACGGTGACCTCTGTCTCCGCGTCCGATTGGCTCGTCCCCCGGCGAGTGACGCCTCGGTGCCCGTCCAAGATGGCCGCGTCCGTGGCGCGGTGCCTGTGGCCTTTTCTGGCTCGCCAGGGGCTCCGGCCGGGGGGACGCTGCTGCGTGCGCAGCCGGCACCCGAGGAGAGGGGTCGCCACGGAGAAACGAGCTCGGAACCTCCTGTACGAGCATGCTCGGGAGGGCTACAGCGAGCTCCCGTACTTGGACATGGAGTCGGTGTGCGCGTGCCCGGAGGCAACCGCGCGCGCTCTGGAGCTCCGCAAGGGGGAGCTGCGGCCGGACGACCTGCCCGCGATCGTGAGTGCGCCTGCGCCGGCGGCTGGGGGAGCGAGCTGGCGGCGTGGCTTTCCCGAACGGGGTTTGCCCGCTGCGTGCCAGCAGAGGGAGGAAATGCAGGAAATCTGGGTTCCTTCCCGAGCTAGGCAGCGTCTTGTGCGTGACGCCCGCTTGTGTGCCTCTGGCCCGCTGAGAACGAAGGCCCCACTGGACGTCCTGGATGCCTTCTTGTGGCCTGCGCGCCCTTTTGCGTGTATTTCGTTAATTGGACACTTGGCATCCACGCTCTACTCCTGGAGCTTAAGTACCGATGTCTTCTGTGCTCAGACTTCATGCCAGGCTGGCCCTAAGGCCGCAGAGAAAAAGTGAGGAGTGAAGTACGAGTCAGATGGGGGAGGGACTCTTGGAGACATCTCTGCACCCTGCTCTAATAGCAAACTGATCTATAGGCGTGAATGAATAAATAATACCCGACGGACAGATATTTAAGCAACACTTATGATCCAGATGTTGAGACTAGGTGCGAATAATAAAGTCTTTAGTGTTTCCGTAATGCAACCTTATAGGGAGCTAGAATGTCCGTAGTGAGTTCTGAATGTAATGGATCAGTCAGGTCTTCCTAACTCCAACTTGAGCCTTTCTGTATTAGTTATGTCTCTGTTGCTGTGCTAAGACACCACGACCAAACCAACTTAGGGAAGATGTTTATTTGGGGTGGGCAGGGACAGAGTGGCAGCCGGTGGCAGGGCAGTGAACTGAGAGCTCATGTCTTTAACCACCAGCGTGAGACAGAGCGACCTAGATGGAGGGCAAGGTTTTAAGCTCTCAAAGCCCACCTCCAGCCTGTAAGGACACTTGCTGCCAAGCTTGACAACCTGAGTTCAATTCCCAGGTGGTAGGAAAAAAACAACTCTTGAGAGTATTGTCTTCTGACCTCCATACAGGCACAAACACAAGAGATTAATGTAAATGTTTAGTGATGATGGTGATGATAATAAAAGAATCTGTTTGTGCATGGTGGTTCTCACTTTTAACCCCAGTACTCTGGAGGAGGCAGAGGCAGGCAGATCTGTCTGAGTCTGAGGCCAGCCTGGTCTACATAGCAAGTTCCAGGCTAGCCAGGGATACTCATGGAGACCTTGTGTTTGAAGAAGAAAAAGAACCAGGGGAGATGGCTCGGCAGGTAAAAGTACTTAACCGTCAAGCCGGCAGCCTGGGATCCACATGTGGAAGGAGAGAGCCAACTCCTATAAGTAAGGTATCTTCTGACTTCCATGCCATGGCCACGCACAAGATAAATAAGGAAGAGAAAAGAGGGGGCTGGAGAGATGGCTCAGAGGTTAAGAGCACAGACTGCTCTTCCAGAGGTCCTGAGTTCAATTCCCAGCAACCACATGGTGGCTCACAACCATCTGTAATGAGATCTGGCACCCTCTTCTGGCGTACAGACATAAATGGAGGCAGAATGTTATATTCATAATAAATAAATAAATCTTTAAAAAAAAGAAAGAGCCGGGTGGTGGTGGCGCACGCCTTTAATCCCAGCACTCGGGAGGCAGAGGCAGGCGGATCTCTGTGAGTTCGAGGCCAGCCTGGTCTACAAAGCGAGTTCCAGGACAGCCTCCAAAACAATACGGAGAGACCCTGTCTCAAAAAAAAAAAAGAGAAAAGAAAGTTTAGTCACCTATAAAGAGGTGACTTAGCCAGGTGTGCTGGTGCCTCTATAATTCCACCACTCAGAGAAGGGCAGGGTGATTACAAGTTCAAGGCCACTCTGGGCTGTGTTTCAAAGGAGAAGAAGAGTCACCCAGCCATGCTTGTCCCTCGGTTGGCTTTGGTCACACCGGCTGAAGAATGAGCTGGGAAATGCACTGGTCCCGGGCAGCTGGGCCTCTGGGTGTTTTAGCACTGATGGGAGGAGACGCTGAGCCTCACCTGCTGCCATTCAAGCGGCCACAGAGGAGGCTCCAGAGCAGTGGCCGTCGCACCCCCTCACTCGGGTCCTCCCACAGATCTCCACGTGGCAGGAGTTGAGGCAGCTGCGGGAGCAGATCCGGAGCCTGGAGGCAGAGAAGGAGGCTGTGACCCAGGCCGTGCAGGCCCTGCTGGTGAGCATCGGGAAGGGGAGGATGGGGGGCGGGGCTGCGTGGGCCAAGGCCGACTGGTGGTAAGCATACCTCTGGCTGGGAGTCACAGGGAATCGTGTAGAGAGTCTTCATGTAACAAAGCAAGCCGCCTAGGCCTACCGCTCCTGAATTAGCTCTCCTCAGCACCCCCAACCAGATTCTTTCCCTCTGTGTGCCCAACTTCAATGCAGACATCGGACCCCATCCCAGTTCCAAGTTGGCTACCATTGCCACAGAGACAAAAAGCAAGCTTTTCTGCCTCAAGGTCTTTTCCAGGAGCAAAGAGGCCATTCCCTAAGTAGAATCCCCTCTTGTTGCCAGGACTGAGACACCCACCCTCACAACAATCATCACGACAGTCCCAAACGAGCAACAGTTCCAGGCCTGACTGTCCTACATGATTCCTCAAAAAGTCATGCAAACAGCAACGAACACCTGAGCACCTGAGGCGGAGGTGTGGCCCAGCCGGTCTTGCAGAGGACCTGAGTTTGGTTCTTAGCACCCACGCCAGAGGGCTCACAACCACCTGTAACTCCTGACGCCTTCTTCTGGCCTCCAAGAGCACCCCACGCATGTAACATACTCGCAGACACACGCTCATAAATACAAATTAAAATAATGGAAAAGAATAGGGCCAGGAATATAGCTGAGCGGTAGAATGTTGTCTACCCTGGGCCAAGCCCTAGATTTAAGCCCAGATGCACAAAGAACTAGCTATGTGGAATGAAGAGGTAAGCTCATGTCAGAGCCTCGTCTAACCCCACAGAGCCTAGGAGGAGGAAGCAGTTAATCTCACAGCAGTGGGTGTCATTACTGTTGTGTTATGTTGCCACCTCATGGCTTTACAGGTAGAGAAACTGAGGCAGAGTGGTGGAGGGACCCAGCGAGTCATTGACAGAGTGGGAGATTCAGATGCCTCGGCCATGTTTGAACTTTGACCTCTCCTGCCTCTGCTCTGAACCCCCAAGTTTATTACCTAATCACGTTCCCGTTTGCTCTTCTCCACCAGGTAAACCAAGACAACGACCAAGTGCAGAAGGTAGGCTCTGACGTCCATGCCGTGACCTCCAGGGCAGGGAGGGTTCCATACCCTGACGTCCACGCCGTGACTGAGAGGGCAGGGAGGGTTCCGGGTTGGTCAGTTCTTCCACCGTCATGACCATCTAATTCAGACAGGATTAGGAGGAAAGATAAAAAGAACAACCCCTGTTGTGCTGGAGAGGTGGCTCTGTGGTTAAGAGCACTGGCTGCTCTTCCAGAGGCCCTGAGCTCAATTCCCAGCACCCACACGGTGGCTCACAGCCATCTGTAATAGGATCTGATGCCCTCTTCTTGCCTGCAGAGCACTCATAACAAAATCAAACAAAGAAGCTGGCGGTGGTGGCACACGCCTTTCATCCCAGCACTCGGGAGGCAGAGGCAGGTGGATCTCTGTGAGTTCGAGGCCAGCCTGGTCTACAAGAGCTAGTTCCAGGACAGCCTCCAAAGCCACAAAGAAACCCTGCCTCAAAAATCAAAAAAAAAAAAAAAAAAAAAAAAAAAGACAGTAGACACTAAAAACAAAAGCAGCCTGTCACTTTGTAAAATCAAACTGGCTTCAGGCACAGCTGAGCTCCGTTACTAGGTTTATTCTGAGCTTTCTTCCTTTCTGTCAGAGCCACACACATCGTCCTGATAGTTCCCTCTAGAACCCTCAGGCTGATCGAGGGTAGCTCAGCTTGGCTCCTGTCTTCTCACAGCCAAACGAGAAAGTCCCGGTGGGCCAGGTCCGAGCCTTGTCTGCGTGAACTTGTCAATTGAGCAGAGACTCAGATTGCTGGGTGGAAAGAGGGTGGCAAGTGTCTATTTGGTGTCCTCTCAGGATGAGTCAGGCTGGTGGAGGTTATCCCTGACCCTCCCCAAGGCTGACCCTCTCTGCCATGTCCAGGACCCTCAATATCAGGATCTGCGGGCCCGCGGCCGGGAAATCCGGAAACAGCTCACACCATTGTACCCCAGAGAGACCCAGCTGGAGGAGCAGTTTTACCTGCAGGCACTGAGGTTGCCCAACCAAACCCACCCAGACACGGTAAAGGCCATTCCAGCTGCCAGGGACCCCGGGCATCCGCGCTCCCGCTTTCCCTCTGACACGCTCCTCTTCCTGCAGCCTGCTGGGGACGAGAGCCAGGCTAGAGTGCTCCGTGTAGTGGGCGACAAGCCAGGTGAGTCGCACCCCAGGGCCCAAATCCTTCACTGGGTAGCCCACCCTGGCATGGGCACAGCATGGTTAACTTGGTCCTCACCCTCTGAGGCTTTTCTCCCAGATCCTGTGTGTCTTTCTGTCTGATCTCTCCTCTCTCTCTCATCTCTCCTTTTCCTTCTGTTTCTTTCTCTCCTCCTCCCTCTCATCTCCCCTTTCTCCATTTTCTCACCGTCCCTCCCTCCCTTCCCCCATGACCCACTCTCCCCTCCTTGCTCTCTAATCCCCCTCTCTCCAATTCACCTCTCTTCTTTCTTACCACATTGCTTTTTATATACACCCAGTATTCTCCTTCCGACCCCGAGGCCACCTGGAAATTGGCGAGAAACTGGACATTATCCGGCAGAAGTGAGCCCCCACCCCCCACTCCCTGAGTCTCACCCCCTCTTACCCCGTCACCCCACCCTAGCAGCTGGCAGCTAGCTCTGTCCTGAAGCCTTAGGCTACAGGGTGGAATGCCATGGCTGCACCTGCCCAAGATGAATATTTGATGTCAGGCCCGCTTAGCATCTGGGCCTCTGCCTCCTGGGTACTGGAGTCCTCTCCCCACCCACCCTGGCCCACAGGCACTGTTGGTTTGTCTGCCTGTCTGTCTGTCTGTCTCTAGGCGCCTGTCTCACGTGTCTGGACACCGGTCCTATTACCTGCGTGGGGCTGGGGCCCTCTTACAGCACGGCCTGGTCAACTTTACCCTCGGCAAGCTTCTCAGCAGGGTATGGCCTACCTGAGGACTGCCTGGACAGGGTGTCGTTGGCACCAAGCTTCGAGGGATTAGTATGGTCAAGGGGGCTAGGAATGTAGCTCAGCTAACCGGTAGAGCACTTGCCCGCCATGTAGAAGACCCTGGGTTCCATTCCCTGGAACACACACACACACACACACACACACACACACACACACACACACACACACAGATGGTACCATACTTTATCCAGCACTGGGGAAGCTGAGACAGGAGGGTCAAAGCTTCAAGACCGATGTGGGCAACATAGTGAAACTCTGTCTTAGAAAACACCACGAATGCAGTGAGCCGCAGTTCTCACATTGGTGTGTGTTATCAACACGTTAGTTTCTAAGCCATCAGTGCTAGGTGGGTGGGCCGTGGCCTGGAGCCTGGGCCTGTAAACACGCCCCTTCCTTCTGCTGCATAGTTAGGGGCACTTGGGCAGCGCAGTGTCCTCTGTGGCAAGGAGTCCACGGGCTGACAGCAGAGTTGCTGGCCATCACAGGCTTTCGGGTTTTCTTTCTTCCTTTTCTTCTGAGACAGGGTCTCACTATTCAGCCTTAGCTGGTGACCAGGAGCTCCATGTATAGACCAGTATGACCTCAAACTCAGAGATCTTCCTATCTCTGCCTCCTTCTAAGTTTTGGGATTAAAGGTTTTCTGAGGGCATTAGGGAGCCATGGGTGGCTTCTAGCAGGGAAGGGACGTATTAGATTGAGACTTTTCAGTAGCATCCCCAGCTGTCCTCTGTATGAACTGCAAGGAAAGCTGGGTGATTGCAGCAGGAGAGTCCCAATAACAGGGTCCCAGGGCTCAGGCCTCACCTCCGTCCTCCGTGAGGTGGACTATGAGATGCAGTCACGGTCTCCTCAGGTCTTAGGTTTATGTCTCTCTTACCCTCTCCTCTCCCCAGGGCTTCACCCCCATGACGGTTCCAGACCTTCTGCGAGGAGCTGTGTTTGTGAGTGAGGCCTGAGTGACAGGCCCTCTCTCCCTGAGCTGGGTCATGGAAGTCACCCATAATTTCAGGGAGGGGGGAAATTCCAGATGCTTCTAGAGGAATGGCTGGGGTCATGACCCCCAAACAGGGGAGGCCAGGGTCACCTGACCCCTGCAACCTTCCCCTAGGAAGGCTGTGGAATGACACCAAACGCCAGCCCATCCCAAATTTACAATATTGACCCCTCCCGCTTCAAAGATCTCAACCTGGCTGGCACAGCAGAGGTGGGATTGGCAGGTGAGCGTCTGTCTGGGTGGTAGGGGGACAGCTTCCTACAGGGGACAGGTCACAGCCCTGGCGCTAACACATACAGTTGTGTGGGTTGTTGACTACTCAAAACAGAGACTCTGACATGGGATTCTACTCTAAATCCCACTATGACTTCCTATGGGATATGGCAACCCTGGCTAACCCCATCCTGCTTCTTTCTCCTCCCAGGATACTTCATGGACCACTCCGTAGCTGCCAGAGACCTGCCAGTCAGGTGACGCTCAGCTTCCTGAATCCTAGGTCTTGTGGTAATATCTCCTGCCCTCCCTGACCCAACCTCACATGCTCCTGCTAGGATGGTCTGCGCCAGCACCTGCTACCGGGCCGAGACAGACACCGGGAAGGAGCCTCGGGGGCTGTACCGAGTTCATCACTTCACCAAAGTGAGTGGTACAGACCTCGCCGACCATGCACAGGTCACCGCCACTGCCCAGGACCTCCTGACCCGGTGTCCCTGCCCTGTCCCAGGTTGAGATGTTCGGGGTGACAGCCCCTGGGCTGGAGCAGAGCTCACAGCTGCTGGATGAGTTCCTGTCCCTGCAGATGGAGATCTTGACTGAGCTGGGCCTGCACTTCCGGTGCGGAGACGGGTGGGGCTGGCGGGGGTTGAGGAGGGAAGTGGGGTGGACTTGGCTCTCCTGTCACATGCTCCTTTGCCTCCTTTCCCCTGGGTGAGGCCCCTGCATGGTGGCATCTCTGTCTGCACCGTCTTGCTTTATAGGAGGTCCCCTATCCCTAGAGTGAGGTCCAGGGTGAGGCAGGGGTGCGAAAAGGGAGCACCAGGTATCGTAAGGCCCACTCAACCTGGACACAGCTTTCCAGAAGAAGGCCACCTCTTCCCCCAGATGACTCACTGTAAAAAGAAAACTGAGAGTATGCATCCCGGTGGGGCACACCTGTAATCTCCCACTTAAGAGGCTGCGGCAGGATTTCTATGAGTTCAAAACCAGCCTGAACTATGGAGTTCCGGCCTGTCTCAAAATAACTAAGTGAATAAAACCAAAAAGGCCTGATGTAGTGGCTCGTACTTATAATCCAAGCACTTGGGAGACTGAGGCAGGAGGACTGCTGTGAGTTTGAGGCCAGCCTGGACTACATGAGACTCTATTTCAAAGGAAACAGAGACAAAGCTCAGAAAAGTACCTACTGTGCAAACGAGAACCCCAGTTCTGGTCCCCAGCACCCATCTAACAGCTGGGGGTGATGGTACGCGTCTGTAACCCTAGTGCTGGAGAGTCAGGGGCAGGTGGATCCCTGGAGCTCGCCGTGTGGCCTAGAGATGCATACCTACAGTCCCAGCACCTGTGATCAGAATCCTGTCCAAGGCCATTGTCAGCTACAGAGTGAATTCTAGGCCAGTCTGAGCTACATGAGACCCTGCCTCCAAAAACCATACAAAAAGAAAAAGCCATTAGAACTCCCATACTGGGGATGCTGTTGTAGACTTTAAGAATGGTTGAGTGAGTGGCCCACAAACTGCTGTGTGGCTGTCCGTCCTTCCCACCCCGGCCCCCCTGGGTACCACCTCCCCAGCGCCTGGTTCTCTTCCCCTGTGTCCTCCCTTTCTTTTCCTCCTTTTTGGCCTCCACTTCCTCCTCCTTTTCCACTGACCATCCTTCACGCTTGCCCAATAAATTTTACCCTGTTTCTGTTGGCCTCAGGGTGCTGGACATGCCCACCCAGGAACTGGGCCTTCCTGCTTATCGCAAGTTCGACATTGAGGCCTGGATGCCTGGCCGAGGCCGATACGGAGAGGTGAAAGCCCTGGCCTAGTGGGGAACGTGTGGTAAGACACTGGAGGATGGGCCTGTCCCCCAGAACAGCCTCTCAACCCCCCTGTTCCAGGTCACCAGCGCCTCCAACTGCACAGACTTCCAGAGCCGCCGTCTGTATATCATGTGTGAGGCGGAGGCTGGGGAGCTGCAGTTCGCACACACGGTGAGGCCCACACTGCGTCTCCACCTTCCCATCCTCTGCAGCATCTCCCACCCCACCCCCCAGGGCCAGGACAAAGTCAGAGCCTGGTCCTGAGCACACCCTTCTCCCAGGTGAATGCCACGGCCTGTGCTGTTCCCCGAGTCCTCATTGCTCTTCTGGAGAGCAACCAGCAAAAGGTGAGAGATCTCCCAAGCCTGCAATCTCGGGTTTGACAGGAGGACTGCAGGTTCAAGGCCTGCCTGGGAATCTTTACTATCTCAAGTTTAAAAGTAAAAAAAAAAAAAGGCTGGGGGTGTGGCTCAGTGGTAGAGCTCCTGCCTAGAATCCCCCAGTGAGGGCCTGGGGGCGTGGCTCAGTGGTAGAGCCCCTGCCTAGAATCCCCCAGTGAGGGCCTGGGGGCGTGGCTCAGTGGTAGAGCTCCTGCCTAGAATCCCCCAGTGAGGGCCTGGGGGCGTGGCTCAGTGGTAGAGCTCCTGCCTAGAATCCCCCAGTGAGGGCCTGGGGGCGTGGCTCAGTGGTAGAGCTCCTGCCTAGAATCCCCCAGTGAGGGCCTGGGGGTGTGGCTCAGTGGTAGAGCCCCTGCCTAGAATCCCCCAGTGAGGGCCTGGGGGCGTGGCTCAGTGGTTAAGAGTTACCCAGCATGGGGGAGATCCTGGGTTCACCTGGCAGTACTGAGAAGCCTGAGTTTGGGACTTCCACCAGCAGCTGAGGGGAAAGTTGGAGGAAGGGTAGCCTCCTGATAACTGCTCTGTCCCCAGGGTGGTTCCGTCCTTGTGCCTGCTGTCCTCCAGCCCTACGTAGGCACTGACCGGATCACAGCCCCCACCCATGTGCCTCTCCAGTACATCGGCCCCAACCAGCCCCAGAAGCCCAGACTCCCTGGCCAGCCCACTGCCGGCTGACAGCTGACAGCTGTCAGCTCTAGAGGCCCCAGGCACTTAGAGCCTCTGCCCTGGAGCTGGCCCTGGTCTTTGTACTTGTCACCTCCCCTCCTGAACTCCTGGGTCTGTATCTCTTTCTTCCCGGCTACTGAATTATTGTCAGTGGCCCCTACTGTCGCTGGCTGTCAGCCAGAAGCGTGTCCCGGCCTGTGATATGAAGGGCACCTGAGAAGAGCCCCAGAACCCCATCCAATTTCACAATAAATGGTCACAAGACCAGTCTCCTGGGTCTGAGAGAGACGTGCTAGGTGGCTGCTTCCCAGCGGCATCGTTCAGGCACCTGTGGCAGCCCACAGGGCTCCAGCTGGGTGGCCTAAGGTCCCAGGGGAACCTAAAGGATGCCAAGGCCTCTCTTTCTGTGGGACAAGAAGGCCGTCATCCTCTGATGCCTCAAACTGAGCCATCTTTATCCTTATCCTTTGGCCAGTGGTCCCCAGCTCTCTATTTCCCATCCCAGAGCCGATCCCCAGACACCTTTGCACCTCACCCCTGCACAGGCTCTCCAAGCCCTTTGCCTACCCTAGCTCCTCCCCTGGTGATCTCCCTCAGTGCCTTAGGCAGCTCCAGCCAATCCTCGGGCTAGCCTCGGCGTTTTCCCACCACTCCAGTGGGTTAGCAAACCTGAGGCTTCACCTTCGAATGTTCCAGGGTCTGCCAGCTGCCCTCTTCCTCCTTCCTCGGCCCTCTTCGGCAATTGGCCACTTATCTTCCACCTGGCTAGTCACAGAAGACTTCCTTGTCTCTGCTCCCTGTGAGCATCCGAGTTGGGTGTGGCCCCGACTGTTCAGGGTGCTCTGGTGGCTCCAGCAGAGTAAAGGGCAGGAGTTGCCATGACTTCCTCCTCTGCCAGACTCACTGCTGACCTTTTCTACATGTATCTGCAAATGTGGACCGTCCGGTTTCTCAAACGTCCGCTCCAGCAGGGCTGGGACACTGGCCGGTTTACTCACTGATGTAGACCCAGGTCTACGGAGAAGAGTTGGCGTACAGTGTCTAGTGGAAGTTACTAGGGGAATCAGGTCCTGTCTCAAAAAATAAATTACTGGAGTCTGGTATGGTGGCATACATCTGTGGGGGGAGGGGGGCTGAGGCAGGAAAATCAAGAATTAAAGGTTTGCCAGGTGTGGTAGTGCAGACCTTTAGTTTTGGTACCTGGGAAGTAGAGGCAGGTGGATGGCTCTGAATCTGAGGCTAACCTGGTCTACATACCAAGTTCCAGGCCAACCAGAGCTACACGGTGAGACCCTGGCTTAAAGTGAACTGAGCCAGGTGGTGGCACAAACCTTTAATCAGGTGAGTCTCTGATTTGGAAGCCAGCATGGTCTACCGAGTGAGGTCCAGGACAGCCAGGGGTGTTACACAGAGAGATTCTGTCTTGGGAAAAAAGCTCGAGATGTCTCAGCAGTTAAGAGCACTCACCTGCTGCCTTTTCAGAGGACTCAAGTTCAGCTCCCAGTGCTGCATCTGGTAGCTCACAACAGCTTGTAACTCCAACTCCAGCTGCTTTGATGCCCTCCTCTGGACTCCACGACCGCTTGCAGTCACATGAGTACACACCCATGGCCACACACATGACAATCTAAAATTAAGGAGTTTCCAGCTAGTGCAGTCTCTCTAGCAAGACCCTGTCTCAGAAAAGCAAAACTAGCCGGGCATTGGTGGCACACACCTTTAATCCCAGCACTTGGGAGGTGGAGGTAGGCAGATCTCCGTGAGTTCGAGGCCAGCCTGGTCTACAGATCAAGTTCCAGGACAGCCTCCAAAGCAATACAGAGAAACCCTGTCTCAGAAAAAAAAAAGAAAAGAAAAGCAAAACTAGCTTACTGGATATTATTTATTTGTGCTGGTTCACACTTGGAACACCAGCACTTTGGAAGCTAAGGCGGGAGGATTGCCACAAATTTGAGGTCAGCCTGGGCTACATAGCAAGACCCTGCCTTCCCAAAACGAAAGAAAGAAAAGCAAGGGGAAAAGTTAAGGCTTTCTGTGAAAAGTACTATGCTAATCAACGACCTGAGCTCTGATCCTTGGAACCCAATAAGAGCCATGAGCTCTTGTAACCCAAGCACTAAATGGACAGTCAGTCGGATCCCAGGGGCTTCCTGGTCAACTGGTTTATCTAAAAAGTCTAGCTCCAGGTTCAATGAGAGACCCTGCCTCAAAAACTCAAGTGAAGAGCAACAGAGGAAGACAGCAGCCTCCACAGGTACACACGCGCACACGCGTGCGCGCGCACACACAGAGTACTGGGGTGGCATGCAGCCTTGTGAAGTTCCCAGTGCAGGGCACTGCCCAAGCACTCCTCATAGTTCACCCTCACCCAAAAGCTCTGGAGTGGGCTGTCACCAAAACTTTACAAACCATAAGAAAGCTTAAGCAATTGTCCCAGCACTGCCCAGCTAGTGGATGATGGACATGGACTTGGCCAGAAGGAGTTTGTACCACAGAGGAGATAGATTTAGAGGATCCACTTCCCAGATGAGAGTTGCTCAGTTCCCACGTGAGTCTCTGGAGACAGCTTTCTCCCAACCCCACCCCGTGCTCCTGGGCCAGAAGCCCGGAGGGGTGCATGCTTGAGTGTTGGTTCCCATGAATAATTGAGGGTCCTGCAGCGCCCCACAGCTGTCCCCACTCTCTGAGCCGGGGAGGGGTGACGTCATCTCCCCTGCCGGGCCCCTGCACCCGGGTTATAAGGCTGGGGCTATCCACTCAGTGGAGAGGTCCCTGTACGGACTCCCCACCATGCTGCGCCGTGCACACACCTCCGTGGCGCTGCTGCCCCTGCTGCTGGCCCTGCTGCTGGGGGCTGGTGAGTCCGGAGTCCGCAGGGCGATTAGGTGACAGGCAGTAGACCAGGGGTCGGGCTATAGACAGGCAGCTGAACTTACAGATTGGGGACAGCACACCTGGCAGGTGCCAGGCTGGTGGGCTGGGCTTCCGGGGGAGTTGGGATCAGTACCACGGACAGTGCCTGCTTCTTCCTCTGCAGTCTCCCCGGCTCCCCTGGCGCCCAGACCCTCCAAGGAGGAGGTGAGAGAGAAGCCCTTCTTTGCCCTCTCCACCCCGTTGGGTCCCTCTACCCAACCCTTCCCAGGACCCCCACCTCTTGGTTCTTTAGTCCTCGGTTTTCCCACTCCCTTGCTCTTGACCTCCCTCTGACTTTTCCTCTCAGCTAACCCGCTGCCTAGCAGAAGTCGTCATGGAGGTGCTGACCCTGGGCCAGGCCCAGAGGGGCCCCTGCACAGCTCTGCTCCACAGAGGTAGGGATGCCTTGGTTCCCCTCAGACTCCAACATCCTCTCTACCCTTGCACTGGCCCACAGCGCACGGTGGGAGAGTTAGTTCTCCGGCCTGGGTTAGTGTAGTACTCCTCACACCCCACACACTCCACCTGAACGTGCCTGGCTCCTGTCAAGCCCCCTGCAGCATAGGGACTGGGGCAGAGAGCATGCACAGCCCGTGACACCCCCTCCCAGTGCCAAGCAGTTCCCTTCATGAGCTGGGGCGGACCCAGGACTCTTCGGGACCTCCATTTCTCAGTTGGATGCACAAAGAGCACCCGATCTTTCCCTGCCAGAGATATTTGAGAGAGAGCCCCATGGCTGTGTGTCCCTTGAGGAGAAGAGGTTGCTGGGTGGGGACTTCACCAAGCAGGAGGCTGGAAAGGTGAGGGACGAGGAAGAGGAGGAGGAAGAAGAGAGGACCCACAAGTCTGAGGCACGGGAACAGGCCATCCGCACACAGCTCCACAGCCAGCTCCGCCAGGAGGAGGAGGAGGGGGAGGAGGAGGAGAGCCATCCAGCGAAGACCTTCGAGCGCATGTGGGAGCAGCATCTAGAGGGTGCCAGGGGCCCCCAGAAGCGGGTGGCCGAGAAGGCCAGCAATGAGGAGACAGCCCAGTTCCGGGCAGAGGAGAAGGGCGTGCAGCTGCTGGGCGGAGGCCGCCATCTGTGGCAGGATGCTGAGATGGTCGGGGGAGACAGGCATCAAGAGTCTTCTCACCATCGTCACCACCTGGAGCAGGCAGACACCAAGACCAAGCAGGAGGAAGAGGCAGAGGAGGTGACGGCTTCACAGCAGGTGAGTGGAGGGGCCACTCCAAGGCCACCCAAGGGGGTCTCTCCCAACACCTCCTAGTGAAACCACCATGAAATGAAACCACCATGAAATGAAACCACCATGAAATGAAACCACCATGAAATGGGTCAGAGGGAACAAGCATGCACCAGGATTAGGTAGCAACGCCCAAACAAGGACAGTAACCAGGGAGACACCACTAATTACCACTGATTACCCAGAAGCATCAGCACCAGCCACCACTGCCAGTCTGTACCAAGTCAGTCGGCTCCCACTGAAGCCAGCAGCCACTCTCCCGGTTCACTAGGCTGGTGACAGATACCATTGGCTAAGTCATGTAAAGTTAAGTATGTCCCACAAGCCAGCAAGGAGCCCAGCGACCTGAGTTCAATCCCATATGGCAGATGGAGAGGTCTGACTCCCACAGGGTGTCCTCTGACCTCTCCGCATATGCCGTGATACATATATGCAAATACACACCCACAATAAACAAGCATAAACTTTTTTTAAAAATTATGGGCTGCGAGATAATTTAATTCCCAGGGTCCATGTGGTGACTCCATTTAAGGGGACCCTCTCCTGGCCTGCAGGGGCACCAGGCAGATATGTGACATACAGACATAGATGCAAACAAAAACTCAAAGTTTCCTTTTAAATGAATTAAATATAACCTCTGTTGGGAGCAATCAAAATGGCCGTCACATCACAGATGCATCACACAGGGCGGATGTAGGTCCTAGGTAAAGTGTATGCCTAGCATGCTCGGGCCCTGGGTTCAATTCTAAGCACTACATAAACCAGTTGTGATGACACACATCTGTAATCCCAGCACTCAGGAAATGTGGACTTCCATGCTGGCTAGGTGGGCAAAAAAGGCAGTAGCCATCGCCGACCATGACAGACAGCTAGGGGGGGTTCAAGCCAGCAGTGTATGAAGTAGCAGGTTGGAGTCACAGTGGCCACAGAGTGGCGACCATGTTTCTGACCTCCCCCAGGAAGACGATGTGGAGCGGCTGGAGCGCATGAAGGAGCAGCTGAAGGAGGCCAGCGCCATGCTGGGGGAGGCCCTTGGGAGGGAGGGCGGAGCCCACTCCAAGCTCTCCCTTTCCCATACCCCCTAAGGCTCAGGACTGCTGACCTGAGCTCCCCTTCCATCCGCCAGGAACTGGGAAGCAAGAGTGTGCCTGAGAACCAAGCCCGAGAGTCGTCTGAATGGGGCAGGGGCTGAGTTCAGCCGACTCGGGACCCCGCCCCCGCCCTCCACCCCTGAATAAAGTGCAAAGCAAACCCCGTGGCTCAGCTCCCAGCTCTGGAGGAATGGGTCCTGAAATGAGCAGAAAGGCACCATCAGTGTAGCTCTGGCTTCAGGTCTAAACTTTATTAAACTGGAAACTATATTAATATTAGAACTTAAGTCAGGCGGGGCTGGAGTCATCAGGAAGAGGTTTGGGTGCCGGGGACGGAGGTGGCCGGTTTTGGCTCCTGCCACTGTGGACCACAATGTCATCATATTCATCCTGGGGACAGAGAGGGATAACACAGGGTCAGGTGGCAGCCACCTTGCCCACTGCCCAGGGCACAGCACTTCATGGGGTGTCACTGCGACGCCTGTGTCCCCTTGCCCCCATTACCATTCTCACTCTCAATGCACTGTTGGGTTCTTTGGTAATGTCCCCTCACCGCCGCCTGAGGTCTTTCTCTACCCTCAGGGTTCTGACCACTCTGACCAAGGTCACCTCCCTACAGCCCAAGTTCTGCATCTCCTGCTCCCAAAGTCACCTCCCATGCTGAGACCCTCCCTACCTGTGTTCCAACCACCTCAGGAGGAAGTCTAACTTGGCCTCAGACTCCCAGACATCCACCTGCCTCTGCCTCCTGAATACTGAGATTCAAGGCTAATGGCGTGCGCCACCATGACAGATGGTCTTAGCTCTTCAGCCACCACAGCCACCCTGGCCCAAGTCTATAAGTTTCCCCACATCTCATGTCCAAGTCCCTGACAGCATCCACCAAGATTTGCCCTGGCCCCTCCCGTTGGGACGCCCGCTCCTGACTCACGCCCTCATCTCTGCTGTCGCTGTCACTGTCACTGCTGCTGCTGCAGGGGCTAAGCTTATCATCCTCATCCTCAGGTTCAGCGGCTCCGTGTGCCCGGAGGAGGTGGGCAAGGATGGGGTTGGGCCGGAGCAGGGCGCTGCCCAGTGGGGTGCGGCCCCCATACATGCGGGCAGTAGGGTCAGCGCCAGCCTTCAGAAGGAGCTCCAGTACACTAGCTGTCTGCGCTTCCACCGCCAGGTGCAGAGGGGTCCGGCCACATGTGGGCTCCTGTGGGACACGCCAGATCAGTGAGGGAGTCGGAACAGGGGACAGCGCCTTCACCCACACTGGCCCACCATAGTGACTCACCGCTTTATTGAGGTCAGCTCCAGCATCCCTGAGCAGCCGGACCATCTCTGCATCTTTGTGGATGACAGCCACATGGAGTGGGGTGTGGCCTGGGGACAGAGCAACCGGTGTCAGATAAGCTAGGGAGCCTCAGCCCTGCCACACCCTAGAGAAAGGCCATCTTAGCTAAAGATGCCACATTTGGGGGCTGGCTCCTGAATTCCAGAACCAAGTCTTTGGTCTTCCTTCACAAAGAACAGGGAATGCCAGCCCCAGCATCATAAATAAAACAAACAAGGACAATAACAATAGAAGTCACACAAAGGGCCTGGGACACTGCCTACCAGATGACCTTAGTTCTTTTCCCATGAGGCCTGACTGAGGAGGGTAAGCTCCGCACCATCTGCCCAAGGCTGGGAGCGAGAGATGGGTCCTCCTACCCTGGACAGGCTGGGCTTATACTTGGGAACAGTTCTGGAACAAAGGCACCTTGCAGACGGGTAGCCTAGGCTCTACCACTGTCCCCTGGCATTTCTGGACCTGTGGGTGGCAGGTCTGGGCTACAAGTGGTTTGATGACAAGGTCTGGAGAAGAGAAGCCCTGTCTGTCCAATTCTTCACACTCCCGAGACTGAGTGGAGGTCCTCAGTCCCAATGCTGGATTCCTGGGACCTAGGGATGCTTTTGCTTTCGGGTTCTTTATGAAACAGGGCTCACTATGCAGCACAGCCCGAACCTGATCTCACGTTTCTGCTCCTGGGTTTTGTCACCCTGAGATGGGTGTTTGTCTGAGACGGGGTCTCCTGAACCTAGACTGACGTCAAACTAGAAAGCACCAAGGATAACTCTGAGCTCCTGACCCTCTTGCTTCCGCGTCCCAAGGGCACCGCCATGCCCAGTTTACGCTGGGGATCGAACCCAGGGCTCGACACATGCCGGATAAGCATCCATAGCCTGAGCTACATCCGAAGCCAGCGGCTAGGTTTCAAGTAGGGTGAGAGGAGCAGGTGGTTTGTTTCCCTGGCTCTAGCCAGAGGCTCTCGTCCTGCCCGGGCCCCTCACCCTCATAGTTTTCAGCTTCGAGCTGCAGCTTCCAGTCTTCATCACTTGGCTCCTCTTCCATCTCTGGGCTGGGTTGGGGGTTCACAGCATCAAGGGTATGGCCGGTGTCTGGGGAACTGTCCTGGCTCTCAGTGAGGTAGGTATCGGAGACATCCCTTGGGCGTCTGGGGCGGGGCTGGAGCAGCGCGCATGCGCACGTGTGTGCCCTCACCCGGCAAGCCAAGTGCAGAGCGGTGTGGCCCCCTCTCTCAGCCACCAACACTCCAGCTCCGGCTGCATACAACTTCTCTACCGTGGATGCCTCCCCCAGGATGGCCGCTAGGTGCAGGGCTGTCTACAGACACAGAGGGGAAGGGTTAGGGCCACACACACACAACCCTGGACCCGGCTGCCTACAGGCCCATTCCCCGGGGGCTCACTTGGCCTAGGTCATTCTGCAGATCCAGGTACTCAGTGCCGGCAGAGAAACCCAAGAGGAAGTCCAGGAAGGGCTCATGCTGATGGATCACCGCCAAGTGCAGGGCCCTGGGGGCAGAGGCAGAGGTCAATAAACACAGAGCGTCTACTGTGTGCTGCAAACTGTGGCCACAATTGGAAACACTTCAGTGTCCCGGAGAGCTAGGGACAGCAGTGAATACAGCAACTTTCTGTGTCTGCTGCTGGGCGTTCTGAGATAGGAGAAGGGTCTTCATAAATTCCCCAGGCTGATCCTGAGTTCAAGTTTCTGACAAGCTTGTGAAAGATGGCCCAGCTGCCAACTTTGTTTTCTCAGTGTTTATTAAAGAATTTAGCCAGCTGTAGTAGCTCAAATTCCAGCACCCGGGGAAGGTGAGGCAGGAGGATTGTGCTTCAGGCCAGACTGGGTTACACAGTGAGTTCTAGACCAGCAGGATCAAATACTAAATAGTGAAATTCTGTCACCAGAAAACAACAACAAACAGGCGTGGTGGCACACGTGAGAGGTAGAGGCTGCAGGATCTGTGAATTCCAGGCTAGTCTGTCTGCATGGAAAATTCCAGGTCAGCTAGGGCTACATTGTGAAACCTTGTCTCAAATGAAAACAAGTGAAGAGCAACTGAGGAAGACAGTGAACACCAATCAATGGCCTCCAAACTCATGCACGCGCGCGCGCGCGCGCACACACACACATATATACACACACACACACACACATACATAAACACACACAGACACACACACAAACACACACATACACACACACATATACACACAGACACACACACAGACACACATACATAAACACACACAGACACACACAGACACACACACAGACACACACATACACACACACAGACACACACACAGACACACACAGACACACATACATAAACACACACAGACACACACAGACACACACACAGACACACACATACACACACACAGACACACACACACAGACACACACAGACACACATACATAAACACACACACACACACACATATATACACACACAGACACACACACACAAACACACACATATACACACAGACACACACACATATACACACAGACACACACACAGACACACACATATACACACAGACACACAGACACACACACACAAACACACACACACAAACACACACATATACACACAGACACAGACACACACACATAAACACACACATAAACACACATACACACACAGACACACGCACATACACACACACACACAGACATACACACACAGACAGACACACACACACAGACAGACACACACACACTCAGACACACACACTCAGACACACACACTCAGACACAGACACACAAGACACTCACACTCAGACACACACACACTCAGAGACAGACATATAGACACACACACACTCAGATACAGAGAGACAGACACACACAGACAAACACAGACACATAAACACAGACACACATACATACACAGACACACACACATACACACATACACACACAGACATACACACTCAGACGCAGACACACAGACACACACACTCAGACACAGACACACACACATACTCAGACACAAACACACACACAAACACACACAATGGAACAGACCTTCAAATTACATGAAGCAGCCAGGTGTTCATAGTACGAGCCTTTAATCCCAATACTCAGGAGGCAGAGGCAGAGTTCGAGGCCAACCTGGTCTACAGAGAGAGTTTCAGGACAGAGAAACCCTGTCGCTAAAAACAAAAACAAAAACAAAAACAAAAAAAGCTGAGGCTGTCGGGCCAGCTGACCTCACCTATGCGTTGAGCGCTGGCCTAGTGAAAGACTCTCAAAAGGAAACAGCCCAAGGTTACCTCCCGACTACACACACACGCTGGGACAATGATGCACAGGTGGGAAGTCAGAGCAAGAGGACGAGAAACTCAGGGGTACCCTCAGCTACACAGCAAGCTCAAGGTCATCATGAGACTGCCCCCCCAAAAAAGGAAGAAAATCACAAAACTCAAGTCCAAAGCAATCAGAATAAATTAATAAAGGAACAAGGACCAGTTCACATAGAAAGTGAAAACTAAGAAAATTAAGGAAACTACACCTGGTTCTTTAAAATTGCTTATTATGTTCCCCTCATGGGTCAGGCACTGACTCATTGGACAAACGCAAAAATCACAAAGGACAAAAAGTCCCAGGTACAACCCCTTACATAGCCTTTCACCACAGCTGACCCTTCTCCCCCGTTTAGCTACCTATAAAAACTTCCCACTTTTTAAAATTATTTTTCAATCTCCCTCTCCTTTTCCTCTTTTTCTTTTCTTTTCTTTTTTTTTTTTTTTTTTTGTTGTTGTTGTTTCGACTTGTTTTTTGAGACAGGGTTTCTCTGTGTATCTTTGACTGTCCTGGAACTCGCTCTGTAAGCCAGGCTGGCCTTGAACTCACAGAGATCCGCCTGCCTCTGCCTCCCGGGTGCTGGAATTAAAGGCATGCGCCACCAACGCCTGGCTCTTTCCTCTTTTTTGATACCGGATCCTCCCAGGCGGTTCTCAAACTAGAGATACTCTTACCTCAACCCCTTGCGTGCTGAGATTACAAATGTGCAACATCATACTCAGCCCAACTGAATACAGGTGGTCGTTAGAGAGAACCGTTTGGAAATGAGATTCTTAATTTTACGTAGCTCTGGCTGGCTGGGAACCCACTTTGTAAATCAGGTGGCTTCAAACTCACAGAGATCCGCCTGCCTCTGCCTCCGCGGAGCTGGGATTAAAGGCGTGCGCCACCACGGCCCCGGCAACACCTCAATTTCTTAATTGCAAATCAGTGCTGGAAGTGTCAGAGTCAGAGACTCAGGGCCAAAGACTAATTTGGGGAATCAAAATCTGGCTTATACAAGAGTAGCTAGAGATCCAAAACCACATTTGGAAGCAAGAGGTCAGAAGGCGTGGGTTGGACAGGCTCAGACCCGGTATGGGGATCAGTGAGTAGGATGCGGATTCCAGGAGCACAGATTTACAGTTCCAAGAAAGGTGGACACTTGACTGCGGGTGAAATCGGTCTAGTCCTTCTCACAACTTAGTATTTGGGAGTTGCGGGTCAGGAAGTCTAGCATCGGAAGTCAGAGTTAGGAACCAGAAGATAATAAGCCACGGAACCATAAGCCAGTGCAGACTTGGGTAGGATCCTACGGCTCCGTTTGGTAATTTAAGGTTTACTCACGTGTCCCCATCCTCAGTGACGTAGCCAAAGACCAGGGGCGCCCACGACAACTCCGGGCCCAGCTCGGCGCCCAGCCCCGGTCCTCCGGGAGCCGCCGCGTCGGGACCTAGAGAGCCTAAGCCGCTGTCGTACCATTCATCGGCGTCCGCAGTTTTTCCCAGGCACGCGACCCCGGCCATGGCCCAGCCACCTCGGGTGGCCCCCTGTGGTCGCCCGCCTGACGCTGGGCTCCGCCGTGAGCTCCAGCGCTTCCGCCCTGCGGGGAATTCCCCAACACGCCCCCTCATCTACCCAATAAAACTGGGCTAAATAGCTACACTCCGCCCCTGTGCATCACCGGAACCAATCAGAATAACGAGGTGTCCGCCGGCCCGCTGAGTTTCCCCACTTTTTCCAGACGCCCTTTATCAATATGGCTTCAGGCACCGGGCCTTTTGGGATTTGTAGTTCTGTGCCATGAGAGGCGCATTGTACGCTAGGGTTCCCTGGACTGCGTTGGCTGCCGGGAGTTGTAGTCCTCTAGCCTTTCTCGGCCCCCTCTTGCTTCCGGTGCCGTCACGGGACAGAGCAGTCGGTGACAGCTCCGAGGGCCCCCACCCCGCTCCCATGGCCGAGCCGGACGGTGAGTCGGGGGCCCAGGTGGGAGGGTCGGGCCGCGCCGGGGCCTGGCTTCGGGCTGCAGGCCCCGGGGCCCGAGGGCAGGCTCGGTGGGGTGGGGGAAAGGAGCTGCGTGAAGGCAGGGAGTGGGATTTGGAGGGCCGTTGCTAAGCGGTCGGTATCGCTAGGTTGTTGGGATTCTGGGGTGTGGGATTTTAAGGGTCCGTTTGCCAAGTTCTTAAGGATCGCGTTTCTCGCACTTTGGTTGCTGAGAACCCTCGTTGCTAAGGACCAAAGTTGCTACGATCCCGGTTGCTAAGGTTATCTGGTGTTAGGGGCAACTGTAGGATGTTCGGGAACCCCTGCCGCCCCTTTCTGTCTCATTCCTTCCGTTCCTGTGCCTCTCCTAAGCCTCCTACCCTCACTGCATCTCCTCTCCCGCACTCAGCCGCGGCGTCCCCTCTTGAAAAACTTGGCCCTCCCTCATTCTCCTGGCTGGCACACGCTACCATGCCCTGCCTAACTCTGAAGTCTTCCTTCAGTCCTGTGTCTCCTGCTTTCTCCTCCTAAGCCTGCCCCTCCCCAGCCTTTCCGAAACCTCACATCCTCCACTCTCAAAAATGCCTTTCCCCATCCCCGACAGTTTTTCCACCATCCCTGACTCCAGGATAACTAGTTTGGTGGGTTCTCTTGTTGCCTCCGCTGCTGTAAACCCTTCATCCCTTTAACTATTCCCTGTGCTGTAACCACGTCTGCTCCCCCTCCTCCCCAGCCTCTGACCCTCTGGAGACCCAGGCAGGGAAGGTGCAGGAGGCTCAGGTGAGATGGGGAAAAGGGGTTGGAGGGAAGGAGAGAGATGGATTTGGCTCCACATCCCACGCTGGGGGGAGGTGGCAAGGGGAGGCTTTTACCCAAGGGCCCTTGGCTTATGGTTCTGGTCCCTAATTCCGTCTGGGGATTAGGACAGCCTCCTGGGGAATGGTGGCTTCTGGGGACCGTCAAGGAAAAATGTACAACCTCCACCTCTGGTTGACCTTCCATAATGTCTTCTTTTCTTACTGATGCCCACCCCTTCCTCAACCCCTTCTGAACCTCATTTGTGCTGGGCCTGGAAGAGACAGCTTTCTAGTTTGATCCCCAAACTCACAGATTCCATGGGGTGGGGGAAATGACCTTATAGGGTTGATTTTAAAAGTAGCACAGATGGGTGTGATGTCATACACCCATAATCCCAGCACACCAGGAGGGCACAGCAAACTTTGTGGGTTGGAGAAGATTATAGAAGGGTCTAGCCAAACTCTTCCTTGGAGGAGTTCACCAGCTGATCTAGGAACAAGACCAAGATATCGTCGCCGTGTCATAAGTGAAGTGATTTAGAATTTTCTTCAATAAGATCAGATGTGGTATTCCGTGCAGAGGGCGGACACCCGGGGAGGCGAGGAGGAGGAGTAAATGTTTTCAGTAGCTGTTGCTGGGACTGTCCTTTATTGACGCTCTACCTGTACTTTAGTGTGCATGACCTCATGTGATCTCTCTGGCGTCCCAGGGAGCATAAGACCCTTTTGTGGGCACTTTACAGCAGTGTCACTTGGGCAGAGGGAAAGAGAAGGACTTGAGACCTATAGGAAAATGGGCCCTAAAGATGATGTAAATTCAGTGGGGAAGTCGATGAATCATCTCAAAGATGCTTGAAGATACTTGCCGATGCCTCCAGAGCCCCCAGAGGCCAGCTACTAGAGCAGTGGGCTCAGCCTTCCTAAGGCTGTGGCCCTTTAATACAGCTCCTGATGCTGTGGTGACCCCCAACCATAAGATTATTTTGTTGCTACTTCATAACTGTCATTTTGTAAATATCTGATCTGTAGGATGTCTGATCTTTGACCCCTGTGAAAGGGTCATTCAAACCCCAAGGGCTCTCAGCCCATAGGTCGAGAGGCATTGTACTAGACAATGCCTACAAGCACTGAATGCCAGCATGCCCATTGCTGTGGTGTCACTCTTCAAAGGGAGGCAGGTACAGAAGCTATGGTCAGCAATGCCCATAAGTGCACAGCAGAGCTATTACAGCCTGCTGTGGGCATCTATATCTTACTCGTCTAGCTCCCAAAATAAGACAATGCCAGACCAAAGCGTTTCACAGTCAGAAGAGGTTCTCAGTGGCAAAGAAGATGTGGGGTGTCAATTGCAGCATTATCCAGGCCCCGTGGCTGTCAGGAGAGGGAGTCAATGAACTATGGTTCATCATACAATGTGCTACTATGGACCCACAATAAAGAATGGGGGGGTGCTGGAACGATGACTCTGTAGCTAAGAATGTATACTGCTATTCCAGAGGACCCAAGCTCCCTTCCAAGAACCCATATCAAGCAATTCACAAGTGACTGTAACTCCACTTCCAGGGGATCTGACTACATGGGCCCTGGCACACACATGCACGAACATGTACATATACACATAATTAAATCTAAAAGAGTGAGGTGGGTCTGTGAAACATTGTTAAGTAGCATCCTCTGGCAGGACCCACATCTGTAATATCAATGAGTAAAAACCCCTGCAGAGAAAACAGCTGGGGCTCTTGCTGTTTAACAGCCACTTGGCTTGGCTTTGCCACGTGTTCATTATGCAAAGGTTCAGAAGGCTGAAAAGGAGGATTGTGGGCCAGAAGCCAGCTTGGGTGAAACAGTAAGACCCTTCTCAACGAGAAAGAAAAGCTTGTATAATACATCTCTCAATTTCTAAACTTTGCTTGTTTGTTTGTTTTGTGGGCAGGAGGTGCATGCCACAGTGCATGTGTGGTGATCTGAGGACATCTGTTCTCTCCTTCCTCCACGAGGGCCCCGGGCTCAAACTCAGGTTGTCAGGCTTAGTGGCAAGCGCCTTCCCCTGGTAAGCCCTCTTGCCAGCTCCCGTAATTTTAAAAGTCGGGTAAAGAGTCATTTTTAGAGTCAGGCATGGTGGTGACACACCCCTGCAATTGCAGCACCTCAGGTGGGTCAGGAACCTGGGGTCACCCCCAGATACATAGGAAATTGGAGCCAACCTGGGCTATGTGGGACCTTGTCTCAAAACAGCAGGAATAACAAAAGAATGTTTTTAAAAATAATTTGAAAAGGAGGTTTGGAAGCGGAGCCGGGAAGGGGTCGTCTAGGGACTTTCGAGCAGTTAGTTGATTGAGTTGGTCAGACTATTTCTGACATTACTGCAAGGCCAGCCCTGACCTAGCACCCAGCTACATGCATTTAGATGGTTCTGGAAGTCCTGTTATCTAGGCTGGGCATTAAGTGGTGAACATAGGTTAAAACAAATATCCTGCCCTGTGTGGCCGATATTATGGCACTTGGTAGATGTTTGTGATTCAGGGGGTTTTAGAGGAGAGAGGGGTGGACTGCTCTAAACAGGCTACCATATGTGGGGAATAGGAGGATCAGAAACAGAAACTGAGTCAACAAAGCCAGAGCAGGACCCCAGGAGAGGGGCCACATGGAGGGATATCGGAGGCCAAGTGGGTACACTGGAAATTGGTGTTACGGACAGGGTGGAGTAGGGAAGCCAACTAAGGGACAGTGAGGCCACTTGGCACCCCCATGGGAGCAGGAGCTGGTTTTGGAGAGATGCTGAGGCCACCTAGAGAGGCTCCCATCCGGGGACAGAGGAGCAGCATTACCAGTGACGAGGCTGCAGCCAAGCCTCGGCAGGTGGCTCAGGGACCAGCCGAGAGGGAGGCCAAGGGACTCTGCTCAGCGTCACAGCAGCCTCTGAACTGCATGGACAAGTTGAGGCCCCCGGAGGTCAACTCTGATGGTGTGGCTGTCCAGTGTGCATGCAGCCCTGGCTGGTTTCACAGTCCCTAGCATCTTGTCGGGCTGTGATGGCCAGCTGGTTACAACATCGGACGTGATCTCCAATGTCATGCAAACTTAATAGCGAGTGTGAGGCCAGCCTGGGCTACATAAACCCTATCTCAAAAAAGCATGCTAGGCGTGGTGGCGCCTGCCTCTACTTCCAGCAGTCAGAAAGAGGCAGAAACATGTGGATCTCTGAGTTCAAGGGTGTCCTAGTCTATATAAGGAACTCTAGGTCAACTAGGGATATATAGTGAGACCCTGTCAAAAGAAAAAATGGGGGCAGACATAGTGGTACATGCCTTTAAGCCCAGGAGGCGGAAACACGTAGATCTCTGGAAGTTCTGGGTCAGCCTGGTCTACAGAGCCAGTCCTAGGCTAGCCAGGGAGATCCCATCTCAAAAAAGATAAGGCCTAACATGTGAGTCACATGAGCAGACCTGGGTCCCCTCCCTATAGGCAGCCTGTCCCAGAGCCCTCGTTCTGGCCCTGCACTTCTTCAGGCCGCCTCCCAGTCAGAGCCTGACTCTCTCTGCACCAGGTGTCACCCATCCCCCCCTTCCTCCCTCCCTAACCCTCTTCTTGGGCTTGGCCATCCCACCCGCCCCTTCCAGGATTCAGACTCGGACACTGAGGGAGGAGCGGCTGGCGGAGAGGCAGAGAGTAAGTGTCTTCCTGGAGGGGGGCTGGGAGGCCTCTGGCTCTGGGGTTGTAGGGCAGGGTTCTGGGGTTGCTCCCAAAGTGGGTAATAATGGACTTGGTACTGGAGGCTGCTGGCTGTGGGAGACGTTGGGGCTTCAGTGGTAGGAGGAAAAAAGATTGCCCGGTTGGGGTGAGGTCTTTGGGCCCAATGCCCACCTGGCACTGTCTCTCTTGTTGTTGGTCAGTGGACTTCCTGCGGAATCTGTTCTCCCAGACCCTGGGCCTGCGCTCCCAGAAGGAGCGGCTGCTGGATGACCTGAGCCTCGAAGGAGTGACCCGTTACATGCAGAGCGAGCGCTGTGAGTCCCCCATTGCCCGGCCACCTCTCCCACTCCTGGCCCCAAGTGACTTCAGGTCTGGGCAGCAAGAAACAGCTGCTGAGTATGGTACAGACCTGGAACTCTGAGCAGATGTAAAAGCACGCTTTCAGGGTTAGCCACAGCTGTATGGTGCATTTAGGGCTAACCTGAGCTCCATGAGAGCTTTTCTAAAATTAAAAAAATTGGAGGAAACCCAAGATGTACAGATGGCTTACTAGTTAAGACCACTGGCTGCTTTTCCAAAAGACCTGGGTTGGATTCTCAGGACCCACATGGTGGCTCACAACCTTCTGTAACTCCAGTCCCAGGAGAGTCTACTTATGGCCACTGTGGGTGTCAGTTATGTACCTAGAACACAAACATTCACTCAGACAAAGCCCCTGTACACTTAAAAAGACACTCAGCCAGCTCTTCAGGAAACTTAGGCAAGAGGATCATGAATTTGAGGGCAGCCTGGGCCGTATTAATAAGATTGTTGACTCAAAGAAAGAAAGAAAGGCAGGCAGACAGACAGACAGACAGACAGACAAGAAACCTAGCTCCAAAATGGAGCACACGAACCCTAAGCATTAGAGGTGATGGAGTGAGGTAACATTGTTCTCAAGCCCCAAGTCTGACAAAAGTGTGTGTGTGTGTGTGTGTGCGTGCGTGCGTGCGTGCGTGTGTGTGTGTGTGTGTGTGTGTGTGTGTGTGTGTGTGTGTGTGCGCGTGCGTGCGTGCTTGCATGCTCAGCTCCACACAGAAAACTAGCCAAGCTCCAACTCCAGGGGCACCTTTTACCAGGCACAGGGACCTAGACTGAGTCACGAGACCGCCCTGCCTTCTGCCTCCTCTGAGTTCCCTGTGTCTGATTGGCCAGACCTGAGTCACTGCTTAGTTTTTAAGGGGTGGAACAAGTGGGTGCTGAGGATGGAGCCCAGGGCCCCTCATACTAGGCAAGCACTCTACCATGGAGCTGCAGCCCCAACCCTCCTTCTGCTTTGTGTTCTGAATGGGTGTGAATCTTCTGTACAGTCCCCTGAGGTTGATCAGCCCTCCTCAGCCTCCCAAATAGCTGGGAATATGGACCAGCACCAACAGGCCCTAGCCTGTTAGTGGTAATACCTCTGGGGTGACTCAGGGTGAGGCTTAGGAAATTAACAGAGGTGTGATGTACCCCGTGTGCTGGCGCACCTGCAATCCCAGCTACTCTGGAAGCTGAGGCAGGAGGGTCTAATTCAAAGTCAGCCTGGGCTCCATTAAAAAAAAAAAGGAAATAGAGACTGAGGAAATATCTCAGTCTACAGAGCGCTGCCACCCCGGTATGTGGACCTGGGTTTAATTCCCCACACCCAATAAGAAGCTCAGTGCTTGTGAGCCCAGGGCTGGGGAGACAGAAGGAAGAGGATCCAAGCCGAGACCAGATCCCAGTGAGAGACCCCGTCTTAAAGATCATGATGGGGATCTGCAAGACATCTTAGCACGTAAAGGCACTTATCACCAAAGCGATGGCCTCAGCTGGGTGCCTGGACCCATGTGATAGAAGAGAGATGATTCTCAGAGCTTGTCCTCTGATCTCTACACCTTTGCTGGGGCACACACTCACAAAGAAAGGTGTAAAAACAAATCCAAACAGGTGAGTGGTTCCTGAGAAATATCACACACGCACGCACGCGCACACACACACACACACGCACACACGCACGCGCACACACACACGCACGCACACACACATACACACGCACGCGCACACACACACGCACGCGCACACACATACACACGCGCACGCACGCGCACGCACGCGCACGCACACAGACATACACGCACGCACACACGCACACACACACGCACGCACACACGCACGCACGCACGCTCGCTCACTCACTCAAAAGAGAACCCAATCCCTTGAGAGCTGTGGATGTGTTCTCTATGGTATTATTACAGGAAGCCTGTCTCAGATGTGCTCTTTAGAGACCAGCTAGCTGGGTCACCATGAAATTTATATTTCTTTTAAGATTGAGTCACCAAAGTCTGGGAAACCAGGCCCTCGAGGTCCTCGGTGGGAACAATGGAGCTTTGAGGGTCCTGAAGAGCCCTTTGTTGAGGCCACCATCTCCAGTTTCCCCTTCGCCCAGCTGCGGTCTCCCTCCCTGGCAGCCAGGCTCAGCAGCTGAGCCTCTCTCTCCTACCACAGGCTGGGCAGCCTCCTGCAGAGAGAGCCCCAGGAGTGGCAGGGTCCGTTTTCCTTCACCTTCTTACAATCAGGTCTTAGAGTCACTAACCTAACCTATCAGGTGAGGGACTTAGGATAAACAGTGATTAATCAGGCCCGTCTGTTTGCTAGGCTCTGGGCCAAGGACTTCCCAGGCATCCTGTACCTAATTATCACAGCAGAGCTTCGAAGTCTTTCTAGAAGTTAGCTGAACAAAAGAGGAAACTGAGGTACAGCAAGGTTGTGACTTGGTGTACACATCTGGCAAGTGGCACAGTCAGGATTTGACACCAGGGCCCTTGAAGCCAGGTCTTGCTCTGTAGCTGTGGCTAGCTTTGAACACAAGATTATTTTGCCTCAGTCTCCTAAATTTGGGTATTACAGACTACAGTCAGGAACATCCTAAAGAAGCTGGGTACCTAGGCTGTGGCTTTTTAATTTTTTAAAACATTTTTGTTTTGTTCTTTTTTGAGGTTTCTCTGTCCTGCAACTCACTCTGTAGACTAGGCTGACCTCGAACTCACAGAGATCCACCTGTCTCTGCCTCCCCAG